TTGTCTGGATGATTGCAGCTCCAATAGCATTCAAGAAGCTTGACGCAATCCAGGACAATGTAGCCTGCTTGATTGGCATCACATTCACAAACTTGCAACCTTGCCCTCACCACCTACAAGTTGCACTGCAAAAATTCACCAGAGCTCCTCAGCCAGCACCTACAGATTCTTTAGTACAATGTATAGAAAGACAAAGATACCAGATACTATCACCTGCAAGTTCCCTTTCAAACTGCTTGCCATCCTGACTTGGAAATATATTGTCATTACTCCAGTGTTACTAGGTCAAAATTCTGGAAATCCTTCCCACACAACTTCGAGAGTTTACCTACCCAGTCAATGTCTCAATTGCTCAATCACTAATCCAGTCAATCCCTTACCCCTTCCCTGCCACACAATCATTCATCAATACCCTCTGCCACTCACACCCATTTTCCCAATTCACCCACCCACTGCTCCTGCTGTTGACCTACCTAAATTTCTATTCAGCTAATTCTTCACCCCACAGACATTTCAAGTCCATGGTGCTGGCAAATGGGACTAGATTAATTTCAGATATTTGGTCAGCATGGACGAGTTGGACTAAAGGGTCTGTTTCCATGCTGTATAAATTTATGACTCTAAAGCTTTCCCTGCCTGTTCCCAGAGGCCCAACTATCATGTGTGTGCTCCCTAACCTGATACATTCTTGAAAAGCTCCCAGTTCCCTATCCCTCAGGCAACCCACTGTGGCCCCAGATCTCAGGCTACATTTGTCCACTGAGGTTGTGTGACTTGCTGCTCACAGAATTACTTCTCTCCCATCTTTGTTGCCTACTGGGAGCTGACCTCTGACTGGAGAAGTCGTTCCTTCCAAATTCTTGCAGTCACACATAGAATAGCTCAGGGTCACATAGGACCCCTCGACAAGCCTAATTGTGACCTGTGGTAGACAAAGATAATCCGTTCCCATCAGTTAATCACACAAGCACCCGCAGACTCAGATTTAGGGCTTGGTCAAAAGGTGAAAGTGAGAAATAATGTATTCACTCACAAATGGCAATTGCTGAAAAGCTGCTGTCTACAAGAACGGTGCAAGTGGACACAATGATAGACATCAAAAGTGCAATTAATGAACACTTAAGGCAATGAATCTGAAAATTATCGGAATATGGCAGGGCAGTATGACTGATGGAAATCCACAAACAGGACTGCCCAGTCAAGCCTGTTGTTTTTACCCGCTCCTACCCTACAGAACTCATCTTTTCCTACCTCAACTCAATTTCTTCTTCCCTTGTTCAAGTCCTTTCCAACTTACATTTGCAATTCTTCTGATGCTTTACATCAGTTTCCGAATTTTCAGTTTATGGTCTCTAGCCCCTCTTCTTCATCATGGACATGGAATCCCTTACACGTCTATCCCCCATCAGGATGGTCTCAAGGCTCTCCACTTCTTCCTGGAAAAAAAACACCTGAACCCCGTTCCATCCTTCACCAACCGCCACCACCTGGCCTCCCTTAATCAAGTCCTATTCTTGCCCCCATCCGGCAAGTTGACAACATCATCAGTGCTGCTTTCCTTTCCCAACCAGAATTGGAAAAGTTTATCAATTTTGCTTCCAGTTTCCACCCTACTCTCATCTTCACCTGCTCCACCTTTAACTCCTCCCTTCCCCTCCTCGATGTCTCTATTTCAATTTCTGGGGATGGTCTGACCACCAAATTCCACAACAAACCCAACAACTCCCATAGTTACCTTAACTATACATCCCTGTACCCTGCTTCCTATAAATACTCTATTCCATTCTCCCAGTTTCCCCATTTCCATTGCATCTGTTCTGGTGGGCCTCCAATATGTTCACCTCCTTCCTCAGCTGAGGATTCCTCACCACTGTGGTTAACAGAACCCTCAGTCATGTCCAACCCATCTCCAACATTTCAGCTGTCACCCTTTTTCTTCCCTCCCACAATAATATAGGGTCCCCAACCTTCAACTACCATCCCACCAGCATCCATATCAAAAGGATCATTAGCCGCCATTTCTGCCACCTCCACCAGGATGCCACCACCGGACATATATTCCCCTCCCTCCCTCGCCGGCCTTCCACACAGACCGTTTCTTCTGGGACACCTTGGTCTACTCCTTCTCCACTCCCAAAACCTCCCCATACCCCCACAGTACTTTGCCTTGCAATTGCAGAAGTTACAACTCTTATGTTAAATTCCTCCCTCCTCACTATCCAAGGCCCCATATGCATCTTACAAGTGCAGCAGCAATTTCTGTGCACTTCACTCAATAAGATCTACTGTTTTCACTGCTCACAATGTGGTCTGCTCTACGTTGGGGAAACAAATGCAGACTGAGTGACTGCTTTGCAGAACACCTATGTTTTGTCTGCAAAAATAATCCTGAGCTTCCTGTTGCCCACCAGTTCAACACACCACTGTGTTCCCTGGCCTACATTTCTGTGTCAGGCTTGCTGCAGTGCTCCAGCAAAGCTCAGTGCAAGTTGCTAGAGCACCATCTCATTTTCCACTTGGGACCCTGCAGCTTTCAGGTCTCAATATTGAGTTCAATAATTTTAGGGCCTGAGCAACTTCTCCCATGTCCTTACCTCAACCCACCAAACAACAGACCTTGTCATCACATGGCTTGCTACCACAAATCTGTTATCAGTCACTAATGATCATCATTAACAGCTATTGATTCTCCCAGGCTGCCCTTCTCACATTCCTTTGTCTACCCAACTGTTTTTCTTTGTCTCTCTAGGCTCCATCTCCATCTAGCATTTCCTCCCCAACCCTCCCCCCACAACCCCACCTTTAGCATACATACCAATCTTTTCCTAGCTACAATCAGTACTGAAGAAGGGCCACTGGACTCAAAACATTAACTTGACTTTCTCTCCACAGATGCTGCGCTGTCTGCTGACTTTTTCCAGCAATTTTTGCTTTTGCTTCTGATTTCCAGCATCCGCAGTTCTTTGGGTTTTTTTAAAGAATAAAATGCCTACTTGGCAACAGAACCCAACTGCCAAGATTCACTAATCCATTTGGTATGGGGCAAACATCCCACACCCACCCCTCCAACACAACTGAAGACAGCAAACTAACCCGAGGCTGGCAACTCGACAGTACTGACAGTGCCACCAAGACTAAGGGTCACTGCTGGTACTGGACTGGGTCCTATGATGTTGATTATTGATAGAATCCTCAGAGAGAGGTAAGTAGGGCAGCGAGCAAGGGTTTCCAATGAGGTTCCAGCAAATTGGGGATGAGAGGTTTGGAATCTACAAAAAAGGACAGAGGTTAGCTTCCTTCAGGTTCCCTTATTTCTTGCAGCATATCTCAATGAGTGGTTAACAACAGGGACCCCATGTCTCATCATTCACCATGTTTTCTTCCTGCCTCAAGCCTAAATTAGGGGCAACTGAGAAGGCAGCAAGGTTTCCACATCACATCTTCCTGCCCAATAAAACTAGACATCTGCCTCTGGGAGTAATTAAAATTTCATCCTATGACTACATAATAAATAAGAAAGCAGTGAGACATAAAAAAGGAGGAATTTCATTTATTGGCAGTTATTTCAGAGAAACACCTCTTTATAATTTCACCATAGTACGTGAGACAAAGGAACTTGCACATAAATTGGAATAATGTGCTGGACTAATATCTGCTATATGTTCATTTTTAAAGCACCTATTGTTATGAAGGTTATTGTTTTTTTCCAGACTCAGGGTTAAAATATTGTGAAAATTCGTTCATTTGAAAGACTGTGGAGATGCCTTGACTTGGTTTTTTTTTGAAAAGATCATTGAATAGGACACTTTTGATCTTTCCTTCAAGCATATATTGGAAGAGACAATTGAGCAAAACAAACAATTAGATTCTTATACACTCTGGAACTGCTTGAACAAAGGAACAGGGAATCACATGTCAGGGATTATGTTTGTCAGTCATTTCTCAGTGATATTTTGCATTTTGTTCAGAAAAGGCAGTTGGGTACCGTCTGCTAATCGAGAAGCTATCTGAGACAACCTTTCTCAACTTTTTTTGGAAAAAGCTTTTTTGCGAGCCAGGTGGGACAGCTGGAAAATCTGTTGCAGCCATTCTCCTGAGAAGCTTCTAAGACTTGACAACATCTCCTGAATGAGTTGCTTCTGAAAATATCCAGTGACAACTACATGGGTCTAATGACATCTGTATACTTGTACCTGAACACCAAACCACAACCACCTGGAACGTTTCATATCTTATTTTATTCTTTTTAAACATTAGCAATTATGCAAAGTTTTCTTTTAATGTTGGTACCAGCAGATAAAGTTAATTTGTGTTAGGTTACTTAAAGCTCATTATTTATTTTTGAAGTATATGTTAACCAGTTTTATACCTTTGTTGAATAAATCTTATAATGATTTAATAATTTTGTTGATATAAAAGAAAGCTGGTTGATGGAATTTTCTTTTTCATTCTGAAATTAATGAAGTATATGATTGACCATATTGGTCACTGAGTAAACATTAAAATCTATAGTGTGACCTGTAGAAGTAGAGAAAGACAGTGTATTCCTACAACCTTAGTCATGACAGTATCATAAATTGGAAATACAAAATATGAATTAGAATTTCATTCTTATTGCAGCTACATTTTGGTTTTGAAAATACTTTGAAAATCAAGATCTAATCAGCTTTTAAGAAGGCTGCTCAGCCAGAACCACAGCGGGCAAACCTTGCCAATTACATCCTAACAAGCTCTAAATCACGTATCATTGTGTGAGAGAGCAAAAACTGCATATTCTTCCCAATTGATGAATCAGTTCTTTTCTCATCATTGATAAACCAATTAGATCATGCTAAGAATCAAGCACAAATTCATCAGATTCTACATACATTTGTATCATATGATATTGCATTACAGCAATGCCGACACAAAACAAGCTACAAATTTTTATATGTTCTCCGTTGTGCTTTTACACAATGCAATAGGAATAAGAGATTACTATTAATAAACAGCTGCATAAACTAAGCTTCTTCAATGTACATCTTGTTGGAAAATTCTGAACCCAACAAAGGTTCATAACCTCTCTTCTTTCGTTGTTGCAGAAATAGCATCAGCAGTACAGCTAACAAGACAAAGCCCACCAAGATTCCACTGATGGTCGCAGCTAGCTCGGTACCCAAGGAAATATGAAATTCTGTAGATTCCATGAAACAAGTTAATTTTCTGCATTTAAAAATGCTGGATTACTCATCATTAAATATTGCCATTCATTGGAAAATTTCACTGTGAAATTACATTGCAAAGTCCCTGTTTTTACAAAGCTACAGAAGCTGCACCTTGTCTAACATGAAGGCAAGAACTCAGTGGTCACCGAATTGAGTCAAGGCAAAGAAATAGTGTTCCTTATCCAAACTGTAACAGCCATTTAGGTGCTTTGTCTTGATTAAAATGATCCAACACCTGTTTCAGCTTCCCATTTCTATGTTGGTTTAGTTTGTCAGGAAACTAACTGAAACCTTGTCTGCAAAGAAAAGTAAAACCATTGGCATTGCCTTGCCCTCCAACTTCCCACCAACCTTCCCCTGACCTCCCAAAATTTCTAATCTTTAGGTCTTGCCTGATCTCCAATCTCTTCCTCACTCTCAAATTCTTCATCTCCAACCTCTAGATCTGTATCCAAACTGTCGATCTCACTTATTACTTCTACTTCAGTGTTCAGGCATGCTGCATTACATTTATAATCCAACTCCTCCCACCACCTAATCTCTGACTGCTAATCACTTCCCCAAAATGCATGATTGCAACCCCACAGCTTACCATCCTCCCTGCCCCTTTCTGGAATTGCAGAAAAGAAAATTAGTCTTAATCAAATTTGGATTTAAAAATTAATCTTAGCGAAGGCGGCCATTATCAATTGCTCTAAAAATCTAACGCTAATGTCCTTTTGAGAAGGAAATCTGCAGTCCTTACTTGGTCTGGCCTACATGTGATTCCAGACCCACAGCAATGTGGTTAACTCTTAACTGCTCTCTGAAATGGCTAAGCAAGGCACTCAGTGCAAAGGCAATGTGGGCTGGGCATAAACACTGGCCTTGCTAGTAACACCCATATCCAATCAAAGAACAAATTTGAAAAACAGTCAAAACATACACAATGCAAGATTTGTTTTCTTGGGAGGAGGGAACATGACCACTGCTGCTCAATGCTGAACACATACCAGCTTAAATACACAAATAATACTGCAAATGCCAGAGATCTGATCTAAAATAAAAATCCTGGAGAAACCCAGCAGGTCCGACAGCATATGTGACAAGAGTTAACGTTTCAAGTCTGGTATAACACTTCACAATTTCTTCAGTAGGAAGGTTAAATGTTTATAAGATATAATATATATAAAGTATAAGTATACACACACATATGCATAAGAGATGAAGTCATTTGTACTTGTTTTGTTTCATTGCCTGTAAATTGTAAAAAAAGTCTCCTTATTTTGTGAACAGCATTTCATTTATTCTTTTACCGTTTACGTAAATAAAAAAAATTAAAAGCAGGTCACCTCATCTCAATCTTGTTGACTGCCATGTGAGAAACCTAGTACAAATGAAATCAAAGAATCATAGAATAGAATCGTTACAGTGTGGAAACATACCATTCAGCCAATCAAGTCTGCACTGACCCTCCGAACAGCATCCCACCTAGACTCAGCACTCTGACCCCCCCCAAACCCCCCTCCCCCGATCATATCCTGTAACTTCGAATTTACCATGGCTAATCCACCTAACCTGCACATTGTCATTAAGTCATTACGTTTGACAGGACCTTTGACTTTTACATAATTTAATGTTTCCTGGGTGTTAACAGAGTATCCAATGAATGGAAGGACACTAAGAAGTTCAAAGGAACAGAAGGACCTTGGTGCTAGTCAACAGATCCCTGAAGATGGCAGGACAACTTAATATGGTAGTTAAGAAAGCATACAGGATACTTGTCTTTGTTAGTCATGGCATAGAGTATCCTGGCAGGGACATTGTGTTGGAGCTATACTCCAGCTCCAGCTCCAGCTCCAGCCACAGCTGGAGTACTGCATTAGCTCTGACCACCATAGTACAAGAAGGTGATCATACTGGATGCAGAGGAGATTCACCAGGATATTGCCTGGGCTGGAGCAGTTTGGCTTTAGTGTAGAGAAGACATATGGAGGACCTGATTGATGTGGATAAGATCATGAGGACCTGAACAAGTGGATAGGAAGCACTTAGCTGATGGGACAATGAGAAGGTAGTATAATTTAGAAGTGAAAGGCAGGAGGTTTAAAGGGAATTTGAGGAAAAACATTTCACTCAGAGGGTGGTGGGAATCTGAAATGCACTGCCTGGAGCGTAATTGAGGTGGGGAATCTCAAAAACTTTAAAAGGTACTTGATGTACACCTGAAATGTCATAACTTGCAAGGCTATGTGCCAAGTGCTCAAAAGTGGGACTAGTTTAGGTTTAGAATGCTATTTTATCAATGCAGACTCAATGGACCGAAGGGTCTGTTTTGCACTATACGATTCAATGATTCAGTTGATCTCACTCCCTTCCCATGCCCCCAGTAAATATCAACCCCAAACAGCTTGCCTGTCAAAAGAAACCAAGTAAATTTATTGAAGTATTCTGCCTGCTGGCCAATAATGAATTGTATCGAGAATGTCACATTGCAAATCATATTTCTCTGAACTCGAGCTGGGAGAAGAATGAAGTTATGTAAGAGACTGCTTTTACAACTTACGTGACAATTCAATTGCATATGAATAACCTAGATCGGCTGATGATAGAAATAGTTCCTCATTGGTCACAGGTGGAAAAAATGGCACCATATTAGATTGCCTGTTGTGCCCAATCGGTGCCAGCTCCTCTGGCCATGAGCTCATTGCAGGGCTGTTTTGTTTCATCCACTCTTCAAAAACAGCATCGATAAAGGTATGGAGCACCTATTACAATGCAAAGTGAGTATTACAAAAGGAATGAATGATCCTTCCAACCGCAAGGCCACCTTCACTTACTCCCAGTCAAACTGTAAGCTTAAAAATCTGGAAATAGCTCAAAAGATGATTACATTCAGTGAAATTGTGAATAGATTACTTTACTACATAGATTAGGATGTAGTTTGAAATAGTGGTAGGCAACTACATCATAGATTTAGAGTGCTCCTATGTTGAATAATCAGTCTAATATCAGTACGACAAGGGGTTAATGACCATTAGAAGATCTCAGTACTGCAAGCAGCATAGCTACACTTTCAAAACACCGAATATTCACAAAATGCACTTTTGAAGGGAGGCAGTGCAATAATAGAATGTAACTGGGCTTCTAATCACACCATAGCATACAGCGTAATTGGAATTCAATAAAAATTCTAGAATAAAAAGTGTCTGTAATGAGACCACCTAGCCATTATTGGTTTTCATACTAAAAGCAACCCATCTGGTTTACTAATTCCATTCAGGGAAGGAAATCTGCCATTCTTACTTGTCTGGCCTACATGTGATTCCAAACACATAGCAATGTGGTTGACTCTTAACTGCTGTCTGAAAGCCACTCAGTTGTATCAAACCATTGAAGAGTCTAAAGGAAGGAAAGAAACCAGATAGACAACTTGGCATCAATCTAGGCACCAGAAGTGACTACGGCAAACTCAGCCTTGTCCACCCTACAAAGTTCACTGCACTAATATCTGACGGTTAGTGCCAAAATTGGGGCAGCAATCTCACAAACTAGGCAAGTAACAGCCTTACACAGTAGTATTCACAGTATCATACCTTACAGACAATGTCCCATCCATGATAATGTCATGTCCTATCAGCAGGACAGGCCCAGCAGAGGTGATGGCACAGAGTTGGGAGGGAGCTGCCCTGAGAGTCTTCAACATTAATCCCCAAGAAATCTTGTGGCATCAGGCAAACATAGCCAAGAAGACTTCCTGGTTGTTACCCTACTGACGCCCATCGCACTCCTGGACTGATGTATCAGAAGCAAGTGGTGAGGGAACCAACAAAAAATAAAAATTTACTTTAACGCATTGACACCTGTCTATCTGTCCATGACAGAATCAGAAAAAGAGCTGGATTCCATAGATGTGATCAGAATGACCGCTCCTGACATCATGGCTGTATTTGACTGAATGTGGAATCAAGGAGCCCTAGCAAAACTAGAGTCAATGGGATCTATTTTTCATCAGCTGAACACATACCACAAAAAGTGGATCATTTGCTGCAGAGTGTGGATTCCCACTTGTTCCATTCAAAAAAGAATGAACCAAGTTGTGAAGACTTTGAACTTCGCCAGTGCCTGATTTGCCATCTGGTGTATTAAATCCTTCAAGGGCATTTCTGAAAGAGAAAGTGGGTCACACTTAACTTCAGCACAGCAATCCAAATTTGACAAACCTATGGGCAGTTGAAAATCCCAATAATACGAGGACTGCTTAACTAAGCAATTTAAACTGGGTAAGTTTGCATTTCTTTTCATTAATGGAGGGGAGTGTCTGGAGAGGGTAAAGAGCAATGTAAAACAATGGGTTCAACATTAAAACATTACAGTGGCACAGTCAGGTCTTAGATTTGTAAATCAAAAGCTTAACAATCACTTTTAAGTAGCATGTAGTTTTTCAGTCATATCATCTGAGATTTTCATTATGACATTAATTAGATTCCTGCAAAGCATCTAACCAATGACGGCATACACAATACCTAAAGTGAGCTCTGAGTAGGAAGACATAATATTTTTCCAGTCTCTAAGAACATTCTCATGCAAATTTTATTGGACGAACTTAAGAATTAACCTTTCTGAACCAAATATTGCGCATAAATCTTGCACTCGATTTAGCTGGGGTTGCCTCCATTCTAATTTAAGGAGCTGATCTATTAGTTGATGATATTAATTCCTTTAACTTTCCCCCTCCAACTTTAATCCTTTTCATTAGTTAGTCATCTGTCTGCTAGTGATTTAATTGTTCAAGATTCATTGCATTCCAATGCTTTCATGTTTAGAAAGTTATTCCTTGATGTTTCTGAAAAATCCACAAAGCACAATTGGAAACTGCTTCAAAAAGGCATTTCCGAAAGTAATTAATTGTTGACTGTACATTATCCCTCCTGACCCTCTCTTAACATCAAAGCTTTCAATATTTATATAATCCTTCTGGTTACTGCAAATAGTATCACATGTGGAAAATCAAATCCCACTGAACATTAAGAAGTAAGTCCTAGGGATAGTGTCGTAACTGGACTGCCTAATGATCTTAATACTCTTGATCTTTAATGTCCTTTAGAAAAGGAAATCTATTATTTTTGCCTGGTCTGGCCGAGATGTGACTCCACAGCCAAACAATTGATTTAATTTTTAACTACCCTCTGCAATAACCTAGCAAATTACTCAGTTTTCCCAAATCACTGCAGAAAAGTCACAAGGGAATAAGACCAGATGGCCAACCCAGAAATAACCGAGGCACTGGGACCAACAATATACTCTGCCCAGTCTATTCTACAAAGTCCTCCTCACTAAAATTGCCAAATTCAGAGAACTGTTTGACAGGCTTGTCAGGCATTGTACTACTGAACAAATCAATTGTTGCTGCCAATGTCTACAGCTCCTCCATCACTCTCCTTAGGTATGTCCAGCCCCACTGGCACATATCTGCCCAAGGGGAAATCACTTTCCAAATTCTTAACATTGTTCCTGGACCCTGTGAAGGCACATCGCATCAGGTTAGACATGGACAAGGAAATCTCCTGCTGTTTACCAAATACCTCAGATCCCCACCGAAGTAATGAATCAGAACTCCTCCATGTTGAACACCATTTGGAGGAAACATTGAGGGTGACAAGGGCTAAGATGACGGGAAATCTATTTAAACTCATCCTTACCAATCTGCCTGTCACTGATGACACTCTGTCCGACACAGTACTCATAGGTGTGATTTCTGTACAGTCCTTTTACAGAATAGCTCTATTTTTACATTGAGGATACACTTCTTTACGTTTTTTTTTAATAGTCTGTTTGGGAATTCAGAACAGTGGGAATGGATGTTAGGGCAGTTCCATGCTCCTCCTGTAGCATGTGAGAGGTAAGGGTCACCACTAGTGTCCCCACTGACTTCATCTGCGGGAAGTGCACCCAACTCCAGCTCCTCGGAAACCGGGTTAGGGAACTGGAGCTGGAGCTGGATGAACTTCGGATCATTCGGGAGGCTGAGGGGGTAATTGAGAGGAGTTACAGGGAGGTAGTCACACCTCAGGTACAGGAAAAAAGTAGATGGGTTACAGTCAGGGGACGGAAAGGGAACAGGCAGACAGTGCAGGGATCCCCTGTGGCCGTTCACCTCAAAAACAAGTATACCGTTTTGGATACTGTTGGGGGGGGGGACTTACCAGGGGTAAGCCATGGGGTACAGATCTCTGGCACAGAGTCTGTCCCTGTTGCTCAGAAGGGAAGGGGGGAAAGGAGGAGAGCATTAATCATTGGGGACTCCATAGTTAGGGGGACAGATAGGAGATTCTGTGGGAATGAGAGAGACTTGCGGTTGGTGTGTTGCCTCCCAGGTGCCAGGGTCCGTGATGTCTCGGATCATGTTTTTGGGATCCTTAAGGGGGAGGGGGAGCAGCCCCAAGTCATGGTCCACATAAGCACCAACGACATAGGTAGGAAAAGGGATGGGGATGTAAGGCAGAAATTCAAGGAGCTAGGGTGGAAGCTTAGAGCTAGAACAAACAGAGTTGTTATCTCTGGTTTGCTACCCGTGCCACGTGCTAGCAAGGCGAGGAATAGGGAGAGACAGCAGTTGAACACGTGGCTACAGGGATGGTGCAGGAGGGAGGGATTCAGATACCTGGATAATTGGGGCTCATTCTGGGGTAGGTGGGACCTCTACAAACGGGATGGTCTACACCTGAACCAGAGGGGTACCAATATCCTGGGGGGGGAATTTGCTAATGCTCTTCGGGAAGGTTTAAACTAATTCAGCAGGGGGATGGGAACCTGAATTGTAGCTCCAGTATACAGGAGGTTGAGAGTAGTGAGGTCATAAATAAGGTTTCAAGGTCGCAGGAGTGTACCGGCAGGCAGGAAGGTGGTTTGAAGTGTGTCTACTTCAATGCCAGGAGCATCTGGAATAAGGTGGGTGAACTTGCAGCATGGGTTGGTACCTGGGAATTCGATGTTGTGGCCATTTCGGAGACATGGATAGAGCAGGGACAGGAATGGTTGTTGCAGGTTCCGGGGTTTAGACGTTTCAGTAAGATCAAGAAAGGTGGTAAAAGAGGGGGAGGTGTGGCATTGTTAGTCAAGGACAGTATTACAGTGGCAGAAAGGACGTTTGATGAGGACTCGTCTACTGAGGTAGTATGGGCTGAGGTTAGAACCATGAAAGGAGAGGTCACCCTGTTGGGAGTTTTCTATAGGCCTCCGAAAAGTTCCAGAGATGCAGAGGAAAAGATTGCAAAGATGATTCTGGATAGGAGCGAAAGTAACAGGGTAGTTGTTATGGGGGACTTTAACTTTCCAAATATTGACTGGAAACGCTATAGTTCGAGTACTTTTGATGGGTCAGTTTTTGTCCAATGTGTGCAGGAGGGTTTCCTGACACAGTATGTAGATAGGCCAACAAGAGGCGAGGCCACATTGGATTTGGTACTGGGTAATGAACCAGGCCAGGCGTTAGATTTGGAGGTAGGTGAGCACTTTGGTGATAGTGACCACAATTCGGTTACGTTTACTTTAGCAATGGAAAGGGATAGGTATATACCACAGGGCAAGAGTTATAGCTGGGGGAAAGGCAATTATGAGGTGATTAGGCAAGATTTAGGATGCATAGGATGGAGAAGGAAACTGCAGGGGCTGGGCACAATTGAAATGTGGAGCTTGTTCAAGGAACAGCTACTGTGTGTCCTTGAGAAGTATGTACCTGTCAGGCAGGGAGGAAGTGGTCGAGCGAGGGAACCGTGGTTTACTAAAGAAGTTGAATCTCTTGTCACGAGGAAGAAGGAGGCTTATGTAGAGAGGAGGCGTGAAGGCTCAGTTAGGGCGCTTGAGAGTTACAAGTTAGCCAGGAAGGACTTAAAGAGAGAGCTAAGAAGAGCCAGGAGGGGACATGAGAAGTCTTTAGCAGGTAGGGATCAAGGAAAACCCTAAAGCTTTCTATAGGTATGTCAGGAATAAAAGAATGACTCGAGTAAGATTGGGGCCAGTCAAGGACAGTAGTGGGAAGTTGTGCGTGGAATCCGAAGAGATAGGAGAGGCGCTAAATGAATATTTTTCGTCAGTATTCACACAGGAAAAAGACAATGTTGTCGAGGAGAATACTGAGATACAGGCTATTAGACTAGACGGGATTGAGGTTCATGAGGAGGAGGTATTAGCAATTCTGGAAGGTGTGAAAATAGATAAGTCCCCTGGGCCTGATGGGATTTATCCTAGGATTCTCTGGGAAGCTAGAGAGGAGATTGCAGAGCCTTTGGCTTTGATCTTTATGTCGTCATTGTCTATAGGAATAGTGTCAGAAGACTGGAGACTAGCAAATGTTGTCCCCTTGTTCAAGAAGGGGAGTAGAGACAACCCTGGTAATTATAGACCAGTGAGCCTTACTTCGGTTGTGGGTAAAGTGTTGGAAAGGATTATGAGATAGGATTTATAATCATCTAGAAAGGAATAATTTGATTACGGATAGTCAACACGGTTTTGTGAAGGGTAGGTCGTGCCTCACAAACCTTATTGAGTTCTTTGAGAAGATGACCAAACAGGTGGATGAGGGTAAAGCGGTTGATGTGGTGTATATGGATTTCAGTAAAACGTTTCATAAGGTTCCCCATGGTAGGCTATTGCAGAAAATATGGAGGCATGGGATTGAGGGTGATTTAGCGGTTTGGATCAGAAATTGGCTAGCTGTAAGAAGACAGAGGGTGGTGGTTGATGGGAAATGTTCATCCTGGAGTTCAGTTACTAGTGGTGTACCTCAAGGATCTGTTTTGGGTACACTGCTGTTTGTCATTTTTATAAATGACCTGGATGACGGCATAGAAGGATGGGTTAGTAAATTTGCAGATGACACCAAAGTCAGTGGAGTTGTGGATTGTGCGGAAGGATGTTGCAGGTTACAGAGGGACATAGATAAGCTGCAGAGCTGGGCTGAGAGGTGGCAAATGGAGTTTAATGCGGAAAAGTGTGAGGTGATTCACTTTGGAAGGAGTAACAGGAATACAGAGTACTGGGCTAATTGTAAGATTCTTGGTAGTGTGGATGAGCAGGAAGATCTCGGTGTCCATGTGCATAGATCACTGAAAGTTGCCACCCAGGTTGATAGCGTTGTTAAGAAGGCGTACGGTGTGTTAGGTTT